GCAACCACACAATGCTTTGTACAAGACGAGGGCAAGCGACTCTAGCAAATGCCGCGCAAAAACTTGAGACGTCTCAACGACGTGCTAAAGCGCTGTATCAAATGTAAGGATTATTATTATTATTGCAGCTCCAAAGGATGCTTATACTGTACACTTTCAATGCTTAGTGACTGGTTAGCTAAGTCTCTGCACTATGCGAATTTCATCACATTTTATTTCCTGTCTGTGTTCTTGGCAAATGCGCTTTAAACCCATTTGTCATGGCAACGTGCAACTTGGTATGCACGGTTCTGGATTCCATAACCCCCCACTTCAGTATACTGATACCGTTCTAGAATAGAGTATCTGTCCTACACTGTTCTGGAAGTGGCAGCTTCAACCTAAGGAGAATGTTTTTGTGTGTGTTGTTCCTACTTTAAATCAATAGTATCAGCTCATAGAAAAGCCATTAGTTATGTCTGTTGTGTTTGTGTAAATGGGAATTTCAGATGATCCGGAATCCTGTGTCACACAGAGTTTTCGCCCACAAAATACTCAGTCACTACACTTTACAGTATATTCCGTGAAGCTCTTTGAGACATCTCGAAGACATGATATGGCGCTATATCAAAAAATATATCAAATGCAAGGATTATAGCTTTCTCCAAACAGCGCAATGAAGAAATGAGTTTTAAAAGAAACCCAAATGCAACATTTGTTTCTCCCCCCCCCCGTCCCCACCCACCTCCGCACCCCCACATTGAAGGAGTTATTCGATCTCTCGAATGTTTCAAGTGGCTTAAAAGGCTGCTGCTGTGTGCGGTAGCTTTCTCAACCCTAGTTGGCAACTCCATGCGCAGTATCTTCGAAGACATCAGTTCTGCCTGGTGGTTTTTCCTGAGCAGGTGCACTTTTATGAAATGCTCGTATCACAATCTCATCTCGGTATTAGGGCAACACTCACAATGGAAACTAGAAGCAATCAACTGCGCACGTCAGTAATAAAGCCAATTCTAGACTGAAATGTTTTCATCGTCGAAAGAGCCAACTCCAAAGTTGATTCAAATGCTGGTAAGATTAAAAAGAGCCTTGAAGTCTGCTGTTTGTCTCACCCTTTGGGACCGTGGCGAAGGGTTTGACGTGGGCCTTCGTTTATCTTCGTTGTGTTCTTTTTCATTCCCTTTGTGGCCCGCATCGGGCTGCAGTTCAGAACTGTCAGGTATCTAATTATTTAGTACGGCTTATCATTTTAGACATGTTTGCTCAGTGAAGAGTTCTGCTGCCTTTTATTTTTGACCGTGCAGCTTTTACTCCCGTACACTTTGGCAACGATAATTAGTGGTGGGGAGGATTCAAAGAAGCTAGGAGACCCTAAGAAGAACAGGGAGCTCCATCTGATAAGATATAATATAATAATCCTTTGATTTAGTGCCTTATCACGTCTTCAAGATGTCCCAAAGCGCTTCACAGAATATACTGTAAAGTGAGTTAACTGTATATTTTGTGGGCGAAACGCGGCAGCCAATTGCGCACAGCAGCGTCCCACAAACAGTCGTGGATTGAGTGACCAAATTATTGTTTTTTTGAAGGGTTTATTTTCTCCGGAAAAGCGATCCGCCAATCGACTAACAACCGGGTTCCTACTTACTGCCAGGTAAACAGAAGCGTGTGGAGTAAAGGAAACTTGCCCAACGTTTCACCCTGCTAGGAATTGAACCCCGGTCTCTTGCTTGCGAGGCGAATGGTCTAACCAGAACTCCACTCTCTGCTTGGCGAGGCCACTCACTCAATGAATGCTCTCCTGGATCTTATTCTTCTATTTTTGTTCATTCACTTTAATTTCTCGTTTGCTTCCTGGCTGTTTGAAGGACATTGCTGAGTGCAAATTGGCTCCTGCGTTTGACTGGAAAATACACAGTCACTCCACTTCACAGTAAAATCCTGTGAAGACGTCCTCCTGCGTGGTGAAAGGATTATTAATAATATTATTATTATATTCCTAGCAAACTCTCCGCTCACGCGGTAAGGATCAAGTCCACAACCCGCTTTGGGACGTGCTCCCGACATGAAAGACACTACGTAAATATTTTGCCTGCAAAATACAAAGTCATTACACTTTACAGTATATCCCGCAAAGCGCTTTGAGCCGTCTCAATGATGTGATTAGCTCAATATCAAATGCAAGGATAATATTATTATCATCATAAATTTGGATTGCATTTGTAGAGCTGGACAGCTGCTTTCAATGTGGCACTTCCTCCTTTAAGAAGCGTCTTTGGCCCCAAATTATCGGTGGCATTCCGATTTCTTGTGCTAAATAGCACACGGAATAGATTAAGGAATACAACAAATTTATCCTCCCTTCCTCCTCTTCCTCCTCCTCCTCCTCCATTGGTACCAATTATTTCTGACACTTTTGTGTCTACAACATGTAACTTGAGCAGCAACCAACCTAACAAAAACTTAAGCATGTGTGGGAATCAGGCTAAATCTTCCTTCAGCTTCTCAGGCCTCCCTGCAGAGAACATCTGGCCTCCATCCAGACCTCCGCCATCACATGTCTCACGTCAGAATCGGACGTGACCCTGAATAGAGAGTTTTTAGCCCTTCTCAGTGACTATCACACTCTCCGACTTTGACATCCGTCACATCCTGACAGCAGAACACGCAGCCAGCGAGATTTAGGATGCAATCTATTTGCTGACTGACGTGAGAATTGGACATTTGAGATCCGATTGCATTATAATTCACAGTGACATTAAAAGCAGTCCTATCACTTGATATTGAAGCCCATCAAGTCATAACATCTCAAGGCACTTATCAGGTAATTGCTGGCAAGTGCCACTGTGTATTTGGAGATCCAATACCTGGAGGGTTTTTGGCCAGGACACTGGGAGACAATAATAATAATAATCCTTGAATTTGATATAGCGCTTTTCACATCCTCTAGACATCTCAAAGCGCTTCACTGAATACACTGTAAAGCGAATTGACTGCATATTTTGTGGTCAAAACGCGGCAGCCAATTGCATACAGCAGCGTCCCACAAATAGTTGTGAATTGAAGTGACCAATTTTATTATTGTTTTTTTTTCTCTTGAGGGATTATTATCAGGCGTGTGGAGTAAGGAAACTTGCCCAACGTTTTGCCTTGCTGGGAATGGAACTCAGGTCTCTCGCTTGCGACGCGAGTGCTCTAACCACTGAGCTCCCAAAATGCTTCTTGGTATTGAGTCCCAAGTTTGCAAAGAAACCCATTTTGGATCAGGAAAGACATCTATAAAACATCTCAATTTAAAAAAAAATGACAGCGGAAGAAATTCCCTACGGCTCTGGATTTACTCTGTTTCACGTCGCTTTTCAGAAAGCGCAGAATTGGGCGAATTCCGTCTTCACCTTGAAGGGCGTTTTCTGCAGGACGCGATACAGATTTACATTGACACGGCACCTTTCATGTCGGGAGGATGTCATTGAGTGCTCCGGATTGTTAAGGGCCTGTCACCCGCAAAAAATTAAAGGCCTTCAGGAAACCGAACCAAACCAACAGCGCATTGTTACGCTGCCCTTTTGTAACTGCAAACATTTCTGCTCCAGGCCAGTGTTTCCCAGTGAGTGGTCCGTAGACTGGTGCCGGGGTCAGTGATAAGCTCATGGCAGGTCCACACCAGAGATCTCTTTAGATAGAGCGACTTGACAGCTCATTTACTAACATCTTCCACATTTTTAAGGCGAGACTGAGCCAGTCCCGTTATCAATAAGTGCAAGAGATGTACTCCTCCTGGCCTCCAGGCTAAATTACTTCTTCGAGTGCAAAGTAATTGCTTAAAATAGTGCGGCAGTTGCTAAACCATCAGCTGCAGAGGTGTTCCTGAACACTGAGCCCTTGTCTGGCTTCTTATCTAGTCGAAATATTGGAACACGAGGCAATTATAAAGTGAGTAAAATTCCCAAACTTATGCAAAAAGGAACACATCAACAACAACAAGATTCCATTTATTGAGCGCCTTTCACGTCGGGAGGACGTCCCAAGGCGCTGTACAGTTGGGTCAGGACCCGAGCATTGGGGGAAATGGTCAGGGTGAGGGGAGGAAAGGGAGGGAGCGAGGAGGGGGGAAATGGTCAGGGTGAGGGGAGGGAAGGGAGGGAGCGAGGAGGGGGTAGAGAGTCGAGAGGGGAGCTGAAGGCACGGTCAAAGAGAAAGGTCTTGAGACCGGCCTTGAAGGAGGAAAGGGAGGAGGCGGCGAAGGCACTGGGGGATAGAGTTCCAGAGCCTCGGGGCTGAGAGGCTGAAGGCCCGACCACCGATGGTAGGGCGGTTGGGGCGGGGGATGTGGAGCAGACCGGAGCCAGAGGAACGGAGGGTACGGGCGGGTAGGTAGGGGGATAGTAGGTCGGAGAGGTAGGAGGGAGCAAGGCCGTGAATGGCCTTGTAGGTGAGGGTGAGGATCTTGAATTCGAAATCAGAGGCATACTGAACATTTTTCCCCCATTTTGCACAAATCTTATAACAATGTAATAACAATAATGCTTGCATTTGATACAGCACCTTATCATGTGGTCGAGATGTCTCAAAGTGTTTCACAGAATATATTGTAAAGTGAATTGACTGAATAATTTGTGGGCTAAACGCAGCAGCCAATTGCGCACAGCAGTGTCCCACAAACAGTCGTGGATTGAAGTGACCAATTTTTTTTTAGTATTTCAAATACAGCGACAACAACAAATTATGTTTACACGGTGCCTTTCATGTCAGGAGGACGTCCCAAGATGTTGGACAGTCAGGGATCCGCACCCGAGCTGGTGGTTGGGATCAGGAGGGGTGGGGAGGGGGTAGGAGGACGACCGAAGGCGCGGCCGCCGAGGAGGGTCTTGAGATGGATCTTGAAGAAGGCAAGGGAAAGGGGCGAGATGGAGGGACTGTGGGTTGGAGTTCCAGAGGGTGGGAGGGGGCAGAGAGCCTGAAGGGCCACCTGCCCGCCAATAGTTTCAAGTACCTCATTAATCGAACCCTGTGTTTCTCAGGTGAAATCCGGTGCTACTGCGATGGGCCTCAGTGTGTGGCCACGGGTTACATGTGCAAGTCGCAGCTCACCGCGTGCTTTACCAGGCTGCTGGACCCTCAGAACGTCAACTCGCCCCTGCTCCACGGCTGCATGGACACTGTGTCAAACACAACGGAGATTTGCCATTCGCAAAGTTCACATCACAAAGGACACTGGACGCTCTTAGACTGCTGCTGGGAAGATATGTGCAATTACAAAGGGTTACAAGATTTGCTGTATTCGAGCAATATGGACTCAGGTTAGTGCATTTAATATCGCTCGGCTGATTTGAACCTCGTTGTACATGGGTTATTGCACCTGATGTTCAGTTGATGTACCTCACAGGACAGGGAAACCTTCCTCTTCGACCGTGCTTATGGCCACCTCCCCCCCGCCCCCACCGGCTCGGAGTCAGGCTCCACCACTGTTAAGAACTCTGAGGCACTTCCCTGTGCGGAGGGCGCCAGATAAGTGCAAGTTGTTGCTGCTGTTGTACTTTTCCCTCCGTTCTCCACAGCTGTTCTGTTTCAGACCCACTCCAGATGTGAATGTGTGCAATATTAATCCATTCCAAGGCAGAAACACTGGGAACCTTATGCTTTGTGTTATGATGGCTTAAGTGGGTAACTCAAAGCCAGAGAGTTTCCAAAATCCGGGTTTTGCCTCTTTCTTGCATTATAAATTATAAATATTAAAAAAAAACGAGATAATCCAAATATTGACACAAGCCCCTCTGGGACCGAGACAAAGTACAAATGTAAATAAATAAAATTTGGGAACGGAACATTATTTGCTGTTGAAGCTCTTTACCCAGTTCGTAAGTGCCAAACGTCATCTTTAACAAGCGGCTTTTGGTGAATCTATAAGAAAATAATGGGCTGAGAAGGACAATGTGAAAACAAATGGCCAATTCTTTTACTTTCTTCTTTCAAATGTCCTGGCCAACAATCCCCTAAATAAAAAAAAAATCATTCACTTTATTGCTATTTGTAGGGAATTAATGTGCGTAAATTGGCTGCCATGATATCCAATTTGGTGACAGTCACTAGACCTACAGCAAGTCCTGTGAAGCTTCGAGCATCTCGATGATGTGATAAGCCACTACACCAAATGCAAAGATTATTATTATTAGTCGTATGAAAGTGACAAGGCAAATGTAGTCAGATAAGGGTCATGCAAATGCAAGTTAACGTCTTGCCATGAAGGTTTGGTATCTTGTTTATTGGTTTTGCTCTTCTCTGAGAATTGTGTTGACAGTTTTGATGGCATCGCAATAGGGCTGCATGAATGGGTGGGAAAATGTTTGTTTATGAGTTAATTATTGGAGGATACATACCACCCAAATGCAAGGAGAAAATGGAGGCAGACTAAATACTGTCAACACTGTTAGAGGTTAGAGTTATCCATGTTAGTACGTTAAACAATAAAGTTTACTTTAAAAGTTTACAACCAAGTTTATCCCCCTTCAATATTCGAAACATGTAACTCTGCAGATTAAACTGAAGTCAATAAAAGTAATGTCCAACAAAATGTGGAATCCATTTAGATTCATTCCATGGTCCTTGGGATCTGTTGAGTGTCTGGTGCTTTTTAAATTTACAGTTACTTACATTTTCAAATGGTTACTTGCATAAGTTTGTTTCTGTCCTCAATGTGGTTTACAAATCTTGATCTAACTTTTCAGATGTGTGTGTGTGTTTGTATATATTGAGTATAAACTAATCTGATCACATGGATTAAATTCCTCCTGGGAAGGTGATGATAAAATTGGTCATTCACTTTGTTCGCAGCTGTTTGTGGGATTTTTCCATGTGCAAATTGGCTGCTGCGTTCTTTACAGTAAATTCTGTGAAGTTTTGAGACGTGATAAGGCACATATCAAATGCAACCATACTAAATGCAAGAGGTCTAGGAACCGTTTCTCTAAAAGTGACCGAATTGTCTAATCATGACCCTATAAGCTCCTTCCTCAGTGATCGAATTATGTGCAAATCCCCGGCTAATTTTCTATTTAAAGCTAATTTTTACAGTGACGGTGCCAGCAAATTCTATAAACTTTTAATGTTTTTCTATAATTAGAAACCTTTTTAAGGATCCTTCAAAATGACCTTGTATTGGATAGCATTCAGAGAAAGGGTCCAGGATGATTGAGGTACTAAGAATTAAGATATCTAGTTGGCCTTGTTGAATTTGTTCTCCATTGGGAGGGAAATATTCAAGGTCTTTAAGACGTTGAAAGGTATGTGTGCTGTGTGCATGTAAGCAGATGATTAAGCTGAAAGGATAACTGCAGGACTAGAGGGCATGAGTGTCAAATTGGCTAGAGATTAGGAGAATGTCCCCTTTGCACGCACATGCACACATAGTAGATATGTAAAACAGTCAACTGAAGCAACTAAGAGTTGAAAAGGATTTGGAGAAATTCTGGTTTCAAATGGGCTTTCAACTTCACATTTCTAAATGAAGAAATGCATCCCATTTATACTCAGATTTTCAGGTCTTTCGACTTTGAGAAGGTGGTTACACTGTAAGAAATATGTACTCTCACACAAAAAATGGGCGTGTGGGGAGGGTAAAAATTGATATGTTTTTTCCTAAAGTCTGGTTTCTTTAAATATTAAACAACTGGCATTATTCTTACAACATTACATGCTGACTGCTGTTCCCCAGATTGCCCCTCGCCTACTACATTCAGGAAAATAGTCAACTAATATATTTGCAGAAGTTGCATCAAATTGGAGGCTGTCACAAAGATTCAGGAGTCCCACTCAAACTAGTACCAATTGCTTGTCAAGTTGCTTCCCAACTTCGATGGACACGGTGTTTTGCATATACATGAGAATGGCATCCAATTCACCTGTTCCCAGATTCAATTTTGCTGCTTTATATAGTCCATATTCAATCTCATAGTCAAGTCCAGTCCAAATTTTCCATCTATAATAAATAATAATAATCCTTGCATTTGAATACAGCTCCTTATCGCATCTTTGAGTCATCTCAAAGCGCTTCACAGACTATAATTAAAGTGAATTGACTATATATTTGGGGGGCGAAACGAGGCAGCCAATCACGCACAGCAGTCTCTCACTAATCAGGTGATCAAATTATTATTATTATAGTCTGGCAGAATACTTCTCAAGAATGCTTCTCAATCCACAACACTGGTGTATTAAATAACTGCTTTGCCTTAGGCTGCAATTTTCAAGTGAACCTTTTGGAAAAAAGGCTTTAAATTCTGGTAATAAAGTTTCTTAAGCTATTTTTTGCCTAAGAATAACATAATTAAGTCTTAAACCAATGTTTACTGATGGTCTAGTCAGATCAGGGAGCTCATAGTTTGGGTGGGGCCGTGCGGGGAGAAATTTGAAAGCCAGTTTCTCAATAATACAATAAAAATGCAGAGATTTATTTGAGCTGACAATCCCCCAAATAAAATAGCTATTTCATGGCTGTTTACGGGGCATTGTTGTGTGCAAATTGGCTGCCTCGTTTTCCTATCAATAGAGTCAATAAAATCCTGTCATGCAATTTAAGATATCTCAATGACCTGATAAGGCATTCTATCAAATGCAAGCATGCTTATTATTATATTATTAAGTCAAATTTCTAATTTACGCATTCTGTGAAGTGCTTTGAGACGTCTCAAAGACATCATAAGGTGCTATATCAAATGCAAGAATTATTGTTATTATTCCTCAAAGTCTGTTGCTCTTAGTCCTGGCATATTTCAGCAGTGTCTGACAGTTATAAGAGAAAACACAAGTCTTTCTCCAGGGCTCTGTACAATTCTAATCCATTAATTTGGAGTGAAGTGGGCCATCTGTGCCAGACTCCACTTCCACAACATCCACAGAGATGTGGCAAAACAGTCAGTCAGTCATTCCACAGCGAAATGGCATCACAATTGCTGGCCGAGGGTCAAACAGACTTGGATGTCTCTGCCAGGAGCACAAGTAGCAATTGCAATTATACCTCAGTCCAAAATGTCTGGGCTCAGTTTAACCGTGCGCAAATTGGCTGCCTACAACACACAGTCGCTACACTTTACAGTATAACGGTGAAGCGATTTGAGACGACTAGAAGAGGATAAGGCGCTGTATCAAATGCAAAGATTATTATTATTCTCTAGACATGAAACATGCTATATAAAGGTAAATTGTATAGGCCTAACCTCATTAGATGATTAGATAGGAGTCTTTGGGTAATATAATTAGGTTTGAATGCCAAGGATTTTTACGGGAAGTTTGACAGGTAATATATATGGCCCTCTGTAGCCTGAGACTGTTACTATGTTGATGTACAATACAGCATCAATCAGCTGCTAGCGAACGCAAACCATGTTGGGCCACTCCACTTATCACATTATATCCTTGACAGCGGATATAAAGCTTTGTAATAAAAGAACTGATTGATTTGTGAAGGGACTGTTCTACGTTTGTCATGATGAAGTGTTGTGATATTTAAGCTGCTGCAGACTGGAGGGAAAGATGAGCAGCTGAGAGTATGAGGCAGGAATTCAGGCTGAAATTTATATAGCGCCTCTCACGCAGGATAGCGTCCCAGAGCCCTCTGATATTCGCAATAATAATAATAATAAACCTTGCATTTGACATAGCGCCTCATCACGTCTTCAAGACGTCTCAAAGCGCTTCACAGAATACACTGTAATTGAATTTTGTGGGCAAAATTGGAGCAGTCCAATGGACATGTTTGCAACCCTACCTTAAGCAAAAAAAAATTCAGCTGTAATCAAGAGTGTTTGTGTTCCTGGTCTCTTGCAACACTCGGGAACAAATCGTCTCACATTAACGGCGCTAATAGAAACTTTACAACTCGCTCACAACAAAGAACCCAGCATACTATTCAAAAGGCGAAGGGTGTTTCCCCCAAAGTCGTGGACAATATATCCCCAAAAACAAGGCAGGAAAGCTGGCAGTTGATTCAATATGTTGGAGTCAACCTGACTCGAAAGTAGTGGGAATAGAGGTTCTCCTATATTTCTGCAAAAAGAGATTGTACCTGGGTCTAGCCTTAGCCTATTTTTATCAGCATTTCACAAACAGTCGTGGATTGAATGACCAAATTATTTATTGATTTATTTATTTTATTTATTTTTGGAGGGATTATTACCCCCAGAAAAGTGATTCTCCAAATCGACTAACAACCGGGTTCCTATTTACTGCTCGGTAAAAAGAAATGTGTGGAGTAAGGGAACTTGCCCGGGGCTCCCACCAAAGCCCAAATTTTGCAGCTTTGCAGGAAGAAGTGAGTTTAAAGTAATAATGTGGTCACTTAATCCACCACGTGGGGCTGCCGCGCTCTGCCGCCTCCCCCCCGCTCGCCCCCCCCACATAGCATGTAGTGACTGCACTTTACAGTGTATCCTGTGAAGCGCTTTGAGATGTCTCAAAGATGTGATCAGCCACTGTATCGAATGCAAGGATTATTATTATTATTATTATTGTTAGTGTTATCATTGTTATCATTATCAATATTATTGTTAGCGTTATCATTGTTATTATTATCATTATTATTGTTAGCGTTATCATTGTTATTATTATCATCATTATTATTATTACAGTAAATTTGCATTGTATTTATATTTTTTTCAGCGCGGGAGGCCAAGAAGCAGAGGGCGTCCGCCAACAGGAAGCAGGGTTACATGCCGAAGTCCAGTGGGAAGGAGATCTGGTTCAGAGCCGCGGTGATAGCCGTGTGTGTCGCCGGGGCCTTCATCCTGGTGCTGCTGGTAATGCTGGCACTCCGCATGCTGCGTAGCGAGAACCGGAGGCTGCGGCGCCGACACGAGCAGATGATCTCCCGGCTTCACTACAGCTTGCAGGAGCCACTGTCCGCCGACAAATTCCTGGCTGCAAACTCCAACCTCGAGCATCCCACACCTCTCCCTCATCCCAGCAACTGTAGGAAGTGCTGCATGGTCCACAGCAAACAGCAGCACCTACACCCACACAGTGAGACCTTCAACTCTTTTTTCCCCTGGGATCTGAAAAGTGGTCACAAGAAGCTAACCCTGGTGTGATATCACCGCGAGATCATTGCTAACTGTTTCCCAGATGTTTTCTTCTAACCACTCGGTTGTAAATTTGGGCTCCTTTATCTCTATTAAAGTGCCGTTGTGATTAGTAATACTCGACACCGTTTCTTACCTTATTCTTCACTTCGATGATGGGTTTTGAGGCGGTGGCGTTTCCCTAGCTCCAAAGCCCCACATCTTCCCCCTTGATGTGACAAGCTCTTAAGCTTTAAGATGTAGCTCTGCTCAACAAGAATACTTATTTATGTCATAATTAATGTACTTTTTTTTCCCATTGATAATTGCCTAATAACACGCACAGCACATCACACACACATACACACATACCACACATACACACAGTAACAAAATACTTGGTAACATATAGATAGCAATAATCTTTTAATGAATTTCTTCGTATTCTACATATAATTCTCCCATCCTTGTTTCAACAACAACAAGATTACATTTGTATAGCGCCTTTCACGTCGGGAGAACGTCCCAAGTCGCTGGACAGTGTACAGCATTTCAGAAACAAGCTGGGGTCAGTGGGGGAGAAAGTAGGGGAGGGAAAGGGGGGTGACGGATGGCATGGCTGAAGAGGAGGGTTTTGAGGCAGGACTTGAAGGAGGCTAAGGAGGGGGCGAGGCGGAGTGATTGGGGGATGGAATTCCAGAGGTTGGAGGCAAAGTGGCTGAAGGCTCTCCCGCAAATGGTGTTTTTTTTTTCAATTTCTCAGTTAAACCTACTAGCGAAAGAGACCAGTGTGGCTGTATGCACATCAATGCAAATTATAAGATACATCAATGTTGTGCCTTACCCACAACTGTGACGGTTTCACCTGAACTCTCATTTGAAGGCAAAGGTCCAAAGACAGGCAAAGGAGAGGTGAGAAGGCCCTTGTCATTGAATCTCTGCTTGGCAGAAAGGTAGCTCATTTTAGGGGTGTGGGCAATTGAGGGTCAAGAGTCGGTTGTAAGCGGTGATGACATGGACCCATGTTATGGAGCCATGCACTAAGGTTAAGTTTCTGCTAAGCTGCGAATTTTCAAACACGTTCTCTTTAGGAGGCGACCAGTTTAAGTACTTGATCGAGTTGCTTTATCCAACAGGGAATCGCACTAAGGAATCAGTGTCCGCCACTGTCAAGCGCTCTGGGACGCTACCCATGTGAAGGCGCTATATAGGTGCAGGTTGTTGTTGTTGTAAGGAATCTGATTGTCAGTTTGTATTGTACTTTTCACAGTCGTCTTGTGGGACCTGAAAGTCAATGAATCAGTTCCCAGTACTGCAGAACAATTGTGGGTGAATCACATCAATTCCTGGTCCCCCGATCAGATGGCTGGTCTGAAGTAGTTTTAAGGAGCCAGTTTTTAATACAATACAAGATTACATTTACACAGCGCCTTTCAAGTTGGGAGGATGTCCCAAGGTACTGGACAGTCAGGGATTTGGACCCAAGCTGAGGGGAGGGGTGGTTGGGGTAGTGGAGGGTAGGATGGTGGTCGAAGACATGGTCGAAGAGGAGGATCTTGAGATGCGCCTTGAAGCAGGTAAGCAAGGGAGCGAGGCGAAGGGAATGAAGGATGGAGTTCCAAATGGAGAGGCTGAAGATCCGACCACCGATGGTTGGATGGGGGTTGTGGAGCAGGCCGGAGCCTGCTGAACAGAGGGAGCAGACAGGTTGATAAGGGGTTAGCAGGTCCCGTTAGTGGAGCCAAGGTGTGCACGTAGACTGTTCTCCTCAGCACTGCGCCTGGAGGTTTAGGAGAAGCTTCTGTAAATCAAGCTTCCTACTCTGAATCACTTTACCATGGAACAGTAAACGCATACTTCCAGCAGCATAAACTGGGTATAAAGATGTCTTCACCCCTGGTTAATGCAGTTATTATGTTTATTTATGGAAGCCCTTTGGTGCCATGAGTGAGCACAGTTGTAAAAGTAGGTGGGAGCGATTCTGACCGGCCTGTTGTCTGTTTGACTTGCTTTATGAGAATTATATGGAAGTGAAACCGAATCCTAAAACAATCATTGCTGCGATAAACCAAGTCATGGCTGTTTGGCCCTCTCATTCATTCACCACTTCTATTACATCCTTTCACTGTTCAAATAGACCCGAAGAGATAACACAGTTCACTGCGTCAAACAAGGTAATTTCTGGGTGAAGAGGGAAGGAAGTGTTGGGACGATTTGAATTACTGTCTCCAACCACAGTATCGAGTCAGTGCTAATCTGCAATTAATTACCAGTTTGAGGTGCAGAATAACTGAAACTCTTAATCCACTTCTTTCATTTTGTTGTGTTTGGTTCTTGGAGAGAAAGTTTAAAATAAATCTGAAGATTCAAAGAAACCTTTTGTCACGTGTTGTACCAAGGTAACGGGCAGGTGGGTACCTGTAATGTGTTACTAAGCTGTGCTTTGCTCAAGGACTTGGACAATATAATTGCTTGAAGGCAACAACAACAACTTGCATTTATATAGCGGCCTTTCACGAAGGATAGCGTCTCAGAGCGCTTCACAGTGGCGGGGTCAGATACCGAGCTAGGTAAACATAGGCGTGTGGATTAATGAAACTTGTCCAACGTTTTGCCCTACCGGGGAATCAAACCCAGGTCTTCTCACTTGTGAGGCGAGTGCTCTAACCACTGAGCTACAGGACTCCACAGTATCTCTCATCAGCAGTGCCTTGGAGCACCGAGGACACGACTATCAAGGCCACCACAGAGGGTTGACTCAATCCCAACATTCAGTTACAAATGTTACCTTGGAGTCGGCTCAGCTACAGGTTGACCCCATGTAGCTATCACCGAGTGACAATCCTCTTGAGCCTGAGTTGGTTTCAAGGTGATTCAGAACATTGGAATCGAGTCAACCCTCTGTGGTGGGTCCTGGGCCACGTGGGTCTGCAGTACTGAAGGAAGGTCCATTAGGTTAAAACTAGCCTTAGATGTTTTCAAGCTTTAAGTCACCGTTAAGTTGGATTTTGAGAACCGGGGGTGGGAGGGGGGGATATTTGACATAAACGGCTTAAAGAATTGACGATTATTATGGTATTTTCTTTTTTGTTTTTCTCAAAATTAAAGTGAAAAGATAGTTAAATCCTCCTGCTCCCCCACCACACAAAAGCAAGGAAATTCACAAGGATTCGGTGCTTTTTAAAACGTTGTGTAACTTGATGTCCGACTTACTGGACTCCTAAAAGAGTCATAAAAGAGCCTTGACTGACTAGACAAACACTTGTTAAATGCAGACAGCTGGAGCTTTTGCTCTTTGAAAAGGGACCAGGGATGAATTACAGTGCATAAAAATTCAATTTGCAAATCCTTCAAACAGCAAGGAGAGAGCCAGGGAGTACATAAATCATCAATCACAAGGCAATCTCTCTAGCTTGTCTTTTTTACTGTTTCACAACAATCAAGGAAACAGCGCATTCTTCCATTGCAGGGGACAGGGCCGAAATAACAGACAAAATGGTTTATTCCATGGATGGTTCAGGGGTTAAGATGAGCAATTGTAAAGATCAAAAGAGTTCAGCTTTTAAGACTGGGTGGTACAGTGGATCAGAACAGAGGTAGTGAGTTTGAGTGTATCCCCTCTTTCCCCTGGCTATGGGGATCATAAGTAGAACGGACATCACTGGTCAATTTTTAGTGGGTGAGTTCATGTCATAGTGTTGATAATAAGGTACCAAATCAATAGTGGCAATCTCATGCAGAAAAAAAGAGCCGAAAGGTTAAAAAACCTCTAATGGAATACTATAACAGGCTGTTTTGATTGGGGCACGGAGTTTTGCGCGGGTGAGAATCCAGGCAGTGGAGTTCTGCATTAGATGTATTTTGTGTATTGCGGAGCTGGAGAGACCAGCGAAGAGGATATGTGGAGTTTTGTAGCTCAGTGGTTAGAGCGCTCTCCTCCCAAGCGAGAGAACCTGGGTTCGATTCTCGGGCAGGAAGAAAGGTTGGGCAAGTTTCCTTACTCCACACGTCTGTTTAATTAGCAGTAAATAGGAACCCAGTTGATGGTCGATTAGCAGATTGCTTTCCCGGAGGTAATAATTCCTTCCAAAAAAAATATTAAATTGGTCACTCAAACCACGACTGTTTGTAGGACACTGCTGTTTGCAATTGGCTGCTGCGTTTTGTCCACAAAATATACAGTCAATTCACTTTACAAGTGAGTGCTTTGAGACGTCTTGAAGATGTGATAAGGCACTATATCAAATGCAAGGATTATTACTATTGGAATAGTACACTATTATAATAGTAATAGTACACTACACTCTATCTACGAACAAATATTGTGAACTGCATCTGCAAATATCTGAAGAGATTTTTCTAGTGTTTCGCTTACACTTCCTAGACAGGAATAAAAAATTTGTTATTTAATGATCACCCCTTGATGAATGCACTCCAAACACAATGATGTGGGTGGGGTGGGGTGTTTCTTTGTTGGATGTGCCACTGCCCTTCAGATGAGAAATTAAACTGAGGTCGCAACTGCCTGCTTAAGCGGACGTTAAAGATCCCATTGCACCAAGATAAGAGAAGGCTGATTCTCTCTCCCTGTGTACTGGCCAACAATCCCCCCAGACAAATTGGTTGTTTGCTCCATGGCTGTTTCTGGGACATTGCTGAGCGCAAATTGGTTGTCTTGTTTGCCTACAAAATCCACCGTCAAAGTAAGATCCTGTGAAACGCTTTGACATGTCTCGATGGCATGATAAGGTGCAATGTCAGATGCAAAACTGAACAGAATTGTTATTATAACCTTCAATTTCTCTTGCATGACATGGTTTTTATCGATATTGTCTTCAAAACATTGTGTTGTGTTGACTCATCACAGTGATGCCTCCTTCTTTCCCAGGAACTTATAGTTGTGCAAAATGTTTGGGTAATTTGCGACACTTTCAGGGTGAAATCTATTAGGATGCCATCAAGATACATAACATTCTATCATAATATAATCTCCCCCCCTTCCTCTCACACAGGGATTTAAGAAACAGGACTAGAAAGAAAAACTTTTGCTGTTCACCTTTCTGGTCCCAAAATGACAATAACAATTTGCTTTTAAATAGCGCCCCTTCACGCAGGTTAACGCCCCAGAGCGCTTGAC